GCCGCCAAGGAGGCCGGTGGCACCGAGCAGCCGGATTCCTCCACCATGACTCCCCAGGTAAGGCGATGCCGCCTCCGCACTCGCCCCTGCGGCCCTGCGAGTCGTCAGGGCAGCGATGGCAATTAACCACTGGCGGGTACTGGGTGTTGCAAAGGTCTCCGAGTAAGGGCAGTTAATAAACACGCCATATTCACATAATACTTAGAGGGTTTGGACGGAACCCTTGGAAGTCCGGGAATGGCATGGCTCAGGCGAGGCTCCATAAATGCCTCTTTATCCAGTGGTGGTTGTCAGGATGTAACAAATCATCATTTTTACAGAACAAATGGGTTGTTTAGGGAAGAGTCTAACTGCTGGCTGAATTTAATTTTCTTGGGGGAGTTTGTTGGTCTCTGGAGAACTGTTTTCCAAAGTACAGCATGTGGGCGACCTGCACCGAACCTCTGTTGACTTCATCCGGCCTGTTGTGAGATGCAGCAGTCTGTTTGCTTATTGGGATGAGTGCCTCTTGTCTTCAGTGATGTCTTCATTTAGTTTTATCATGGGGTCATGTTTCAGTTGTCAGAGTGGTGTAGAATTGTGACTATTTTGATCTTACCACACATACTTAAAGCTGCAAAAGTGTTTCTGTCGTAGTACATAGTTGCCCTTTACTTAGACTTACATATACATTTTGTGCTACGCGTGCTTGATCTTCCAGTATAAAATTGTATGGGGCATTGGAGGGAAATATTCTGAAATGCTTTTGAGGTGAAAAATACTCTCATTGTTAATGCTGTGTGCTTTTTATGTGTACACTAGGGCCAAAATGCCTGCAAAATGTTCATGTGCTTCACTTACTAATTGTCAGCAGTTCCAGTGAACTTGATGTGACCGTTCATATGCATTAAGTTAGGGACAATCCAGCTGCTTAAAGTTAAACGTGCACAAAGAGACACACGTGTTGAGGTCCTCAGCTATGTATACACGTCAGTCAGATTCACTGAGGCTTTTGTATGGTTTTAGGGTCGGTTTGTAGAGATTCAGCTGCAAGAACAAAGCTGAAGTGCATGCTTTAAATTGACTTTAAGTTTAAAAGACATCTGTTTTTGGCAAATTGATCTTAGGATTCTGATTTGAAGCTAAGTTTGCAAAAATCCTGTTGCGTCATATTGAACTCACTGACACTTTAGATTTGTTAATCTTTGGGACACCTTTTTAATTGTATCCATTAAAATTTCATACCAATACCTGAATACGTTTGGGAATGTATAATTTTTAAGTTTACACCATATAACTAATCACCGCCTAGCAAAGCGGTGCTTTCAGTTCATGAATTTAATTCGACAAAGGTTTTGGACAGTACTAGTTGATCTTTTACAGTGATAGCAATGGGACTCATTAAATTTTTTAATGGCAAAACCAAAACCTTGAAAAATCAAATGTAGAAAGTGATGTTAATTCGGTATTGAGGCTGCTTGCTGACTTCTTAAATTATTGAACTCAAGATTGAACAATAAACTGTAATTCCTCCCCCTTATGTAGCCTGAAATTTCATTAATGTTATTTAATTGTTCCTCAACCACTCTCTCCTTTCCATAGAGTCGCAAGTAATGCATTATTGTGGTGCACACGTAGAAGAAGCAGAATACTGCTGAAGTTTACATTGTCTGGTTTATGAGTGTTTATACAAACAACTTGTATCTTGAGTAGTTTGTTTATTCTCATGGACAATTCAGTGTTAATTCAAAAGGAGTATGGTACTCTGCTGGTCATAAAATTGTTATAACAGATTGATACAATTTTGGCTATCTTAGGCTGTAAAATGAGACAGGATTTGGAGCGACAAGTCCTTACACAATAGGAATAGGAAAAGCAAAGCATAGTGATGCTTTCTTGCTAATGATCTTAAAAGTCGAGTAGAGAAATACTGTAATTTGTCATTTGTAGGAGCCTATTAAGCCTTTGTTTAAACTGGTAATTGAAAACAATTCTTTCTGTTCTCATCCCACAGTGACAGTGGCTGCAGCCAAATAGATCAATGTTTTTCTCTTAACATAGAAAATATTATGTAATTTGCCATGAGTTAGTGTTTTATTATTTCTTTTTCCTGTCTAAAAATAAGATACCGCTCTTTGCCTTGACAATATTGTGAGTTTAACATAGTTTCTTACATGGGTGTACTGTTGGATTAAATTGCTGGATTCTTGTGTTTCTCTACAATCGGATGCATCTTTTGTCAAGTCCTGTTAAAATACCTGTGGTACTTCATTAATGCTCCATCTGATATTTGTGTACTGTATGCTGCTATTTATTTACAGTAGTAAACAAATACACGTGGGTGCATCTGTATCCATAAATATGAATTTATCTACATCTGTTAAAGCTACCTTAGCTTTACCATGTCACCTTTCGGCAGACTGCTGCACGCTTTAAAATCCCTCCTTTGTTTTTATAAAGGGTGCTAAACCATTCTTTCGCTATCTTTACCAGAAAATGACCGAATGTCCCCCAGAATAGGCATTATGTTATGGCCTAGGGTCACCTAAATTCATTTTGAAGTAGTCTTTTGGTGTGGGCTCTGCGTTAATGTTTTTGGTGGTATGTCCTGTGGTCAGGAGCTGATAGTGCTGGTTTCAGCATTCCCTGTACAATGCAACAGGTGTAGTCTCTTGGTCAGCCAAAGATGGAAAAAGGCATATGTTGATGCTGATGTGTTTGTTGGGCTTAAGGATTGTAACTGGACTTGAAGAACGACAGTTATCGTGAGGACGTAAGCACTCAAATGACTGAAATTTTCACCATCAGGAATTTTCTACACTAGCACTTCTGTTTTGCTCAGACTAAGCTGTAGAAATCTACCTTTCCACTTTTCTCACACTTTTCAGATAGAACCTGCAATACGTGTGTCACTGACTTCATCTGCTGCAAGAAATAGGTGACGGGATATTATTATAGCTCTTTGTGTGAATCCCTGGCCATATTATGAGTTTTAGCCCTTTGTCCAATTGATAGAATGAGGAGGAAACAAAGTGGATCTGTGGAGACGACAATTTTGTGGCAGTAGAACAGGTGCTCACCAAGCATAGCATCCAGCACTGTCACGGTAAATCACCTTATAATGCCTTTTGAGAGGGATAATTGAATCAGCTTTTGTATAGCTGGGGATGTACGCTCCTCCCCAGTGTTGAAAGTTGCACTTATTACAGCATGGTTTCTGAGAGAGTCCATGCTGGAGTGTGAATGCACATCTTCCACCCAAAGCCGTGACAGCTCTTCTGAGTCATATTCTTATTAAAAGATTCTTGGTGGGAGTTATTGGAGGATCAACAGAAAGTCCAAGAAGCATAGCCTCTCCTCTCATTGACCTCATCTCCAAGTTACAGTTTTGCAGAAGTATTTTTTTGAAAATACAGCTCCATGTTTGTTTGTGTCTGCTAGATTGCTACCAACAGAAAACATCATTCCTGATTTAAGCATGAGGTAGGCTTTTGGAGGAAGCTTGCACTTCTTTTAAACCTGTTTTAAGATAGGCAGAATGGCTCAGTTTTGAGAAATGTCATCAGACAGCACCTACCATTTTGCTGTTGTCGTCACACTTATGTTTTAAAATACCTGCATGTTTTGGATTCTTTTTTGTTTCTGAGTGGGCTTTATATAGGTGTCTTGTCTTAACTGTGGAAGGGAAGAACAGAGGATATGAAAGATGTAGAGCAGTCACAGATTCTCAGAGGTGGTGGAGTTGACATGAGAGCACAAGAATGGTTGCACGAGGTCAGACCAGAAGTACAGTATTTTATCATTCTGTCTTTGACAGTAACTAAAAGCAGATGCTAAGAGAACATAAGAGAATAACTTAAAAATCAAGTGTATAGCGATACTTCTCTAAAATATAGGAGCTGCCTTAGCTGCAACTGGTGTCTTTATTTTTAAAATCTGTAGATTTTTCTTCTATGAGCTTATGGAGCTGTGTCTTGAATCCACAAAAGTTTAGCCCTTGCAGTGGTCTCTGGCAGGGACTTTGTTAGCACAAGGCCATGTCAGGTGAAGAGCTGCCTCCCGCGTGTTTTAAATCTGTGTCTTGGTAGTCTGATTTGATGCCTGATATTTCTTGTGTTGGAAGAGATACAGAACTGTCAGTTCCTTCAGGTCTCTTTAAGATGTACCACTACTTAAGTGCTGAGATACTTATCTTCAGTCTTTTGTTCTTTATGTTGGTGGCAGCTTACAGTGCTTTGAAGTTACTGTCATCTACCTGGAGTACTCTAATTCTAGCCTGAAATATTTAAAACTGAAAGCTTGATCACTTCTTAAACGGATAATTTTTTGGGTGCAACCAAATCTATTTACCTCTTCAGCTGTTGAATGAATCAGAATTAATGAGAATTCAGATGATAAATAATCGTCACTATATGCTGGTTCTGATTGTTCCTTTTCTTTTCCACAGCCTTTATTCAAACATCTCCACCACAATTTCTCAGCTGTCATTTTCACTCTAGGAGGTGGTGTTTGATATACTTGCTGGGTGACCTAGCACTCATGGTCTGCTGAAAAACAAGTAGCTGACTAGCTTGATGTCTGTGTTCTCTGTTCATCCTCTTTATCTTTTTTGTACATTTCCTCCTTTTTCTCTTTACTGCTCCTTTACTCATACTTGTCCTCCATTTTCCCTTCATTTTACCTAAGTTAGCCTCGTAATAAGTACCTCTAGTTGTTAGGAATAAAATGCACTAAAAATTATAAGTATGGTACTTATCACATGTCTGTAGTAATTTTGGCCATCTTTCTGCTTTTCATTATTGTTCTCTTTAGTTGTAAGCTCTATGAGGTAGGAAATAAATTCTGCTGCGGGTACTATGCCTCACATGGTGGTTTCTGAATTTTGATTCAATCTTCTGACATCCATTGCAATACTGTTGATGATGAAGTGAGTTTTCCTTCAAAACAGATTTTAAAATTTCTAGAGTATGATTCTAGTGACTATCATGAATTAATTTTCATGGTTTTTCCCGTGAAAGCTGTCTTAGAGAATTTCTGTCTATTGTAGGAACAGCAGCAATACTGGTACCAGCAGCACCTGCTTAGCCTGCAGCAAAGGGCAAAAGCCCATGCTCAGGGACAGCAGCAAATGAAAGGTCCAGTAGTGAAGGATGCACCTGAGCAGAGAGCAAAGTCTGAAGAAGGGAAAATGAGTGCTTCAACTCAGCAGTCTGAACCTCCTCCGCTTAATGAATCCCTGCCTCCAGCTTCCAAAGAAGACGAGTCTTCTCTTACCTCCACTGAAACTCAGGTAGGCTTTGTAAAGTGATGCCACTCCATTTGTCGTGCTAGATGGGATAAAGAAACAGGAAAATAATGCCATCAAATTCTCGTGTATACTGTGTAACAATAACTAAATATGGTAAAGCAGTCTTAAAAGAACATTTGCTAAGGCTGCACCAATTAAAAAAAATAAAAATACATACACTCCTTGTATATAGTCACCCACACATGCACGAAGCGAGTCCAAGCTTGACTCACTTGCACCTTCCCCAATGTTGTCATCTTTGTCTATGAGAAACACTTTGTGATACCCAAGTACAAAATCAAGTACTCGATAGATGAGGAATGCTATCTTTAAGACACTATTTCTTAATGCCTCTCTGGCAGTTTGTCAATTCTGATTCCCCTTCTCTCTGTGTGTTGTAGTTTGTCTGAAAGCCAAGAACTTTGCGCGGAATATTTTTGTCGGCACGCTTAATAACAGTTACTACAGAATGGATGGAGATCATGATTGATGTTTGAACAGATTACTGTAGGGTAGTAGATTACCCTGCAGCATGTGCTCCACTTTAACTTACAGTGTGTGTGTTCCTACCAAGTGGCAAAAATAAAGCACTCGGAGTTACTTTACCTCATCATGAAAAAGCACTGTTGTCTCATTATATTTGCTGTGAGAAGCAGATAACAGATCTGCATTAATCTCTTTCCTGTAGGTAGTTTCTGTATGTATGAATACCCTAATTGCCATCAGCCTAACCTTTAGATCAGACTATTCACATTAAGAATAAATGAAATAAAAATCAGCCTTTCAGAAGCTGTGGGTGTCCAGAACACTGAAATAGAGAGTGATAAAATAACGAACCCTGAGAAAGTTCTGCAAACTGGGTAGCGACCAAGAGTGTTTTTCTTCTGACAGAAGGAGCTTTCATTTATTTACAGTATTTGCCTTTTTCTCTAGCTCAATATTGAACCTTCCGATGACCCCGAGGAAGATTTGAGATTGCAGCAATTGCAAGCAGCAGCAGCTCAATGGCAGCAGCATCCCCATCACCGGGTTGGATTTCAATATCAGAGAATAATGCAGAAGCATGCCCAGCTGCAGCAGATAGTACAGCAGTATCAACAGATCATGCAACAGCCTCCACACTTACAGGTGAAACACTAAGGAGATGGTGTTTGATGTACTTCCTGGGTGACCTAGCACTCATGGTCTGCTGAAAAACAAGCAGCTGACTAATTTGTCATGGTTGGCTCATTTGTCTAGCTACTTTTTCTGCTTGGGTAGAAGTCTATATCCCCTTTTCCTACTGTCACTCAACTTCAGAATGAAAAAAGAATTGGCAGATGGTGACGAAGCTTCAGTAGGATGAGAAATACAAGACTTTACACTTGTCATAAGATTTTTCAGACGTATACCTGCGTGATACAGAGGCAAAGCTGAACACAATATTGAATTTACTCAGCTTTGAATGTTTTACTGCTGGAGAAACAGTTCAGAAGAAAGGTCAGGTAAACAGATGATTGCATGGAGTAATTTGGTAGCTGATCTTTTTTACAACATTGTGTAGTACAAAAATAAATATGTACAATGATGAAGTAAACATAGATACCAAAAATACGTAGTTAAAGTAATTAAGGAAATCACTGTCTCACATTATTTTTGACTCAAATAATCAGTGAAATAAAATAAAAAGTCTTAATAACAAGTTTGGATAATTATATCAGTGTTGCAACCTTTAAGCTCTTAAGTAGAAGTTGATTACTGTATTAGAGAGTTGAGTCAGCTTTTTCTGGGTTGGTGGAGTTTGTACATTAAGCATTTCTTTGTAGCTTGGGCTGTCTGCTTGTTTGAAAAAAAAATCTCTTTAAGTGTGAACCCTAAAAATCTCAGACAAGATCAAGCCATGGGTATTAGCACCTGTAACTACACATAATGAAAGACAGTACCTCCTAGAAGGAAGCTTTGTTGTGCAAATAAGAAGATCTGGCAAAGGCTTAGAGAAAAGTAATTGCTGACAGCTAAAGCAACTCTGAGCGGGTTAATAGCAGAAACTGAAACCTCGAGAAGTCACGTACTGTGTATATTGAAAGCGTGAAGATTGATTTGGGCTTTAGCCATTGTTAGCATCCAGTAATAACACAGCTTGGAGCCCTTTGATTATAGCTTTCTTCAGCAGTCCTGTTCAAAAAAAAAAAAACCAAACCCAATCCCCCAAAAAAAGCCTTTTATACATAAATGTCCTCTAGTCATAAAATGTGTAAATTGTCACAATGACTTTAGACATCACAGTTGGTTTTTGCTTTTGTTTCAGTGTAGTTCTTCGTCAAGCTTCTGCCCAAGTCAGAAATTGTGATATTATGAGTGATACTGAAATACATGGCTCTGAAAATAACTAAGGTGGTATTTTGAAGGTATTCTTGTCTTCTCGTTGCAGACAATGTCAGTGGACATGCAGCTGCGACATTATGAGGCACAGCAAAAACAGTTCCAGCAGCTTCATAAAGATTGGGAGCGATCAATGAACCAACAGTGGCAGCATCAGCTTCAAACCTACCCTCACAAAGACCAGCTTCAAGAGTATGAGAAACAATGGAAAGCATGGGATGAACAGATGAAGGTCACTCAGTCTCATTTGCAGGAGAAAGTGAGCTCACTCCAAAATCTGAAGAATCAGTATCCTGCAAATGTTTCGCTGCCACCTCCATTTGTTCCATATTCTCAAACCACTCAAGGTGGCATTCCTATTATGCCTCCAACTTTACCTTCAACTACACCTCCGCTGGTCCCCCCACCTCTCTCTTCTGTTTCTCAGTTATCTAATTCCTCTGTCCCTTCAGGATCCAGTTCTCAAAGCAGTCAATCTACTGAGACACCAAGGCCAGCTCTGCTTCCCACCCCTGGTACCTATGCATCAAAAATAGCTAGTTCAACTGTATATTCACCTTATCATTCTCAAGTAAGTTCATCCTTTGGCTCTTCAGACCACGGAAAGTCTCAAGTTCATCTTAGTAAACAAACTGTCTCTATTTCATCTGAGCAAGGATGTGGGGAACTGAAAGCCACTTCTGCAGTGTCTTCAACACATACACCTACCGTGCAGGATAAACCAGTGAGGTCGGGTGGATTGCTTCCAGATCCTCCCAGATCAGCACGTTTTGAAGGCCCCAGAGGCCCTAGGTAAGGATGTTTTTTTTGATTTATACATGTTCCAGGCTACGAGACTTTCAGTGATATATTAAGAAATGAAACATATATCTTATTCTCAAATCTTCCTGAGGTCATGTGAAGTGTGCTTGTTTGGTGGAGATTTTGTTTTTAATGTATGTACACCATGCTCTGTATTTATCTTACTAAAGCAAGGATAGATAGATGCCTTTCACCTGAGCATTATCTAGAGTAGAAAGCTTTTTTTTTCTGGCAAAATGCTTGGGCACACTGCACCCTTTTCATTCCCAGAGACGTAATACCCTTTTTGTGAAAATAGGAAAGCTGTTGTAAATATTTGATATGTCTTTGCTGTCCTTAGTTTGAAGATGATAACTCATACTTGAAAGAATGATCCTATATGAAAAGGGATCTAAATTCCCAGCATTTTGTCTGCGGTACTTGGAACACAGTTTAGGAAAATCTAAAGCAAAAACGTTGAAGGATTGTTTTTAAGGTGTTGCTAAATATGGTAGCACTTGAATGTAGGCATTCTGAAAGGGATTTAGGAAAGAATTCAGATATATATTTAGTTGAATATACTAGTGTAGCTAATTACTGGCAACTTAGATGCTATTTGTTTTTTAGAAACAATAAAAAGTACCCTTTGTTTGTAATCCAAGATTTATTGCAGAAAGACATGAAAATTCAAAGCTGTTCACCAGTACTTCAACTTCTAGTGTGAGAGAGTTCTGCAGCTATATGATTGTCCTATTCGGTACACTTTTCAAAATGGCTGTTTGATAAGAGAGGTAGTGCTTGTCTTAAGTACAAATCAATGGTTTTCTACACATGTAGCATTACTTAGCATTCAAACAATTATAAACGAGAGAAGGAAAGAAATGAAAATTTGAACCTTAGGATCGTAGCATTAGGATTCTTTTCACTTTTTCTTTTTCATTACATCATGATGGTCTTGGTTTTGAAGGTTGCTGTCTTTATCTTTTGGTAAGATACAGTTTTGTTCAAATTTAAATCTTCATTTTATCAGGTGGATGGCCTGCTGCCTTGAGCAGCAAGCCACTACTCTGAAAGCCAGTGTTCCGTGTCTTTTATGTGGTTTTATACCTGCTGTATGGTTTAATCCAAGATCTTGGTTTTGGAATGTTTTTCTTTCATACTTGACATAATATCAGGTTGCAAAAACAACATCTGTTCTGTCTGGTCATTAGTTCAAGTTGTGTTGATGTGATGCCTACTGAATCAAAGAACAGTGTTGTTCTGTTAAATTGCTTCTATCCTTATATACTCTGCTAGACTTTACAATCATACCTTCATGTTTATTTCCCTTCTCTTTGCTTCCAAAGTGATCATTCATGAATAATAATTCATTAATTGCTAGCAATGTAAATGAATTTTTTATAACGTTGAATAATTTTCTACCTCCTGATGGTTTTTAAAAAGTGTTGTTTCTGGTCCTGGGGATTTGTTGGGTGCACAGTTCTGAACAGACTGTTTTCATGATTTGCTAGTGCATGTCTTTTGTGTGTGTTGGTTTAGAGCCCAGTGCTGTGCGATGATAGGCTATGGATAATAAAAAATTTCTAGAATGCACATACAGGAGCTCTGGTTTTGAGCATACTTACGCTATTTAATTAACACTGTAACCTTTGCTCATTCCTATATTGTGATTGCATGACCATTCTAGGGTTTTATCAAAGCTTTCCAAAAATCTGTTTACTGTTTCTTCTCGATATAGTTAATAGAAAAGAGAGTCCTAATAAATTTTTTAACTGAACATGGGGTAAATGAAAAATGTTGTGTTACCTGCTGCCATCCCAGCTAAAAAGTCTCAGGTAATGACTAGACATATAAAAAGACACACACACCTTTCACCTCTTTTCAGCAATTGACTTTTCTCAAGAAACTCTAAAGAATGGGCTTAAACTAATTTTCAGAATTTTGGGGATGAAGTGTGTCTTACAGTATCCAACCTTCTCACTATACCTTCCGTGTAAAAGTTAATCCTTCAAATCTAAGTTATCTTGCCACTGTGCTTTGTAATTTCTTCTTTTTCCTCTTTCTGTTCATCTTGACCTGCCCCTACCCCCAAAAAAGGCAGTTTACTGTGTTAACTTCTCAGGATTATTAAAATTCTTTGAGGTTGTATAAATGACCTTGTTTGGTAAATTGCTCACTGAAACAGTAAATTCTGCAACAAGTCAACCGCTGTTGGTAACTAGGCAGTAATGAATTAATACCCATAGAATCATAGAATAGTTTGGGCTGGAAGGGACCTTTAAAGGTCATCTAGTCCAACCCCCCTACAATGAGCAGGGACATCTTCAACTAGATCAGGTTGCTCAGAGCCCCATCCAACCTGACCTTGAATGTTTCCAGGGATGGGGCATCCACCACCTCTCTGGGCAACCTGTGCCAGGGTTTCACCACCCTCAACGTAGAAAATTTCTTCCTTAGATCTAGTCTAAATCTACCCCCCTTTAGTTTAAAACCATTCCCCCTTGTCCTTTTGCAACAGGCCCTGCTAAAAAGTCTGCCCCCATCTTTCTTACAAGCCCCCTTCAATTATTGAAAGGCTGCAATAAGGTCTCCCCAGAGCCTTCTCTTCTCTAGGCTGAACAACCCCAACTCTCAGCCTTTCCTCATAGGAGAATGTTCCATCCCCCTGATCATTTTTGTGGCCCTCCTCTGGACCTGCTCCAACAGGTCCATGTCTTTCCTGTACTGAGGGCTCCAGAGCTGGACACAGTACTCCAGG